AAAGGAGTGATATGATAAAGTTCAGCAAATGAAACAATTCCAGTACTAACCTGGAGTTTGTTCTGTCAACTGAGACAGTGTCGATCTCTAGAGCTGTCAAGCTGTCACTAGCACAGACTTCACTAACATTAATAAAGAAAGGGCAGCAGACAGTCTAACTTACTTAATGGTCAGCCCCCACAATGCAGCTTCTCCACAAGGGATAAACACTTGTGCAAGGCTCTGGGACTGCCTCTCACACAGAGATGCCCCTGCTGCTGCCCACACAGCCTTCACACTCTAAAGGGAGAGAAAGATAAACTTCTCTCCCAGTCATTAGGGAGGTTAATCCTCCATCTCCAATAATATTTTTAATTTGTGGTTTCTTTATCTAAATAATCGAACAAATACATACACTTAGATTTCTCGATTTAGCAACTAGGTAATGCAAAGGAACCACAAGCCTTATTCTTCATAATATCACTAGTTTACACTGTATCCTGATATCAAACATCATAATGTCATCTGAAACCCTGTATGTTTTATAAGCTGGAAAACGTGTAAGGACACTTCAAACTTTCCCAAACATGCGTGTTCAAGACATGATAAAGAACGCACTTCTGGACATCTTGTGCAAAAGATGAAACAGAAGAACAAAGTAGAAGTAAAGAAGTAGAACTAAATACAAATTAAGTAACAACAGATCATAAACAAGGCCTTTATTTCCATACTGACCCTGGATTTCTATGTAGAAAGCAGACTTGCATCTGAAGAAAGAAGTGGTGGTTGAGCAGAAATATATATCACGTTTTCAAGCTATCTTATAGTTTCTCACCTACTAGTTTGTTGAAGAATGACTGCAACATGAGAAAAGTTACGGATGATTAAAGAATTATATGCTAAATAAGACACATCTCCCTGTTAAGGTGACTAAGAATAATAAAATAAAAAATGAGTCACAGTAGTTTCCTTTTTCATCTTCTTTTAAAGAATGAAAAGTACCCACAGAAAACTGTCACTCCAGCTGAAGTTGTGCAAGGCTGATATTCTCTTTAATGACAATCAGAACTATAAAACATATTTTGGGTTTTTTGGGGGTTTTTTTTTTTGTTTGTTTGTTTTGTTTTATTTTTTAAAAAACATATTTTTTAAAAAAAGTTTTCTACAATTAAAACCCAATACCATTTTACACATCCTATCAGTCCCCACCACAAGCAAAACACCTTTACCAGTGCTCTTTCTCACAGAAAAATCTGTAAGTGGCTGGCAAAAATAAGTGTGCAGATTTTGTAAATTTATTTAGAGACAGAATAAAAATTTTCTACACTGTCTATCCCTAGGAAGTCATAGATAAATAATGAAGAAACAGTAATGCAAATACTGTATCTCACATATGCATGCATGCAAATCAAAGTACAACTTTCATGCAAACTAGATAAAGCACTTCTAAATGTACTTAGCTAAGATGTATATGCTGTCTCTGAGTAAAAAGAGAGAAATTATGCGACTAACACCATGACTGTCCAAGACATCCTCAAAGGATAAGAAAGAACAAGAAAACTGAAGAGGGAACAGAATGGCACACCACCAAATACTTTCTGTAAAAAACTAAAAGACAACACACAGCTTAGAAACATGAATTGCAAATGAAGATGGAGCCCAAAACCCAGCAGAATTCTGTAGACTGCTCCAAAGACATCATCATCAAGATTTGTAACACTATCTTTCGTACCCTTAAAAAGGACAAAGTTGAAGAAAATAAAGGCACGCTAAACAAGGCTATGGACTGTCAGAGATAGAAACCAAGTAATAAGAGTAAAAGAAAGTACAGTTAAAGCTGTAATACACAAAAAGAAGCCCTTCCAATGAGAATGAAAAAAACCTCACAACTCACAACAGAGAAAATTCTTTATAAATCACTAAAATTCATTGAGCCAGTAAGAACACAGGGAATTGCAAATCTTACCACTCCTTGTCTGCTGTGCTTCATCAAAACCACAATACACTTTTTTTTTAAAACTGCAAGAGTTGACCTCAATATGCTCAACAAAACCAACTAATGGGAAAGACAAATGTAAAGTGATGCTATCACTCCTAATTTTATGAAGTTAGGACTGATGAAGTAATAAGCTGAATTGAGCAACTGTGGTAACAATATCAAGCTATTTCAGAATTCAAATCAAAATGCTGTATTCAATTAGAAAGTTGTAAAAGTCCATACTTGTACAAATAATAATTTTTAAAAAAATGCCAGAAAGCCATAGTGAAGAGTTTAAAGAGAGTCATGGGCAAGAATTTATCCCCCTTCATGGCATACCAAGAAAATCTGCATTGCTTGTTGTTCCTTTAAACCTGTTTTCCTTTTCCTTTTTTAAATCAACATCTTGTCTACTTTGACTTGCTTCAAAACATGGTTCAACAGGTATGAAAACCACAGGTTTCTGACAATCATATGGAAAACCAATGAAAATACTGAATAAAAATTACTTTCTTTTAAGTCTTCACTTTGTTACACCTACACAAGAATGAGGACATTGCTGTCCTTAGCAAGAAAATCCAGCTTTTGTTAGCATCTGTTACATTCTAAGAAGTATTATGAAAAAAAATATGTAAATTAAGGTTTCCATTTACTGATGTAGTGTATCAGTTAGAAAAATCCTGTGACCTTCCACAAACAGATCTCAGCAAAACCTAGAAGAAATACAGGATTAAAGTACTTTCCTCCATCACCTCTCTGCCCCAGAGAACCCAGCGCACCAACACCACAACCACTGACACTTCTGAAGGCAGTGTAGAATCCTCTGGGAAAAGGGCACAAAAATGCCTTGAAGATCAAGAGTCTAATGACCTTTTCCATGCTAAATTAGGACATTTAGGTGCACTATAGTGAATTTTTAACAGCAATTATCAGTAACAGCAATTATCAATTAACAGCAATTATCAATACCCACCATACTTTAAAAGAACCCATAATCCATGAAGACAAAGCCACACCTCTTTAATTTCATAATTTTACTGCCTTTATGTACAAGATTTAACATGAAACTCTACCTTACCAAAACCACTGTCAGGCTTCACCTCACTGCTTAAAACTCTGAGAGCAAAAGGCCCTCCTGCTTTGCTACTCATATACGCAACCTACTAAGCACTGTATTTAAGAAAATTGTTATGAATCATGGTTTGCTTTTCATCATATGATCCAGGTCACAGATAAGCTAAGGCAGTAGAAGCCTCCTCTTCGACTTCTTATGGGAAAAATTCATTAAATCCTTCATCACGACTCTGTTGATTTGCTCCCTTCCACCACTGAACACCATCACAGACAGCAGAGAGAACCTCCTGTGGTTATTAACAATTCTGGGGCAATAGTGCTACAGCAGAGTGAGCATGTGCCTTAACATTTGAGTTTTATATGTCAAAATATTGAAGTTTTTCTGAACGTCACATCATGGAAGATCGTAAGATACCACCACACAGCCTTAACACTAAATTTAACTATTTGTCAAAAATTTTGGCTCGTAGATATATGAGTAACTGCAGTTATCATGTACAATTGCAGCTGAGACATGACTGCGTAAAGGAAAAGATACAAGGTGCTGCCTGATTGTTAAAGGGCTCCTTTCATTCCTGTAGACTTCACTGTACTGTAACAGTGCTGATGGGTTTGCTGTGAAACAAGGATGTATGTCCCAAAATCCATTAGCTGTAATGCCTTTATATATGGGCATGTCTATAATGCCCACCAGCCTTTCTACATATACCTGTAGCTAACTCTTTTATGCTACCCTACAAACTTTTAGAGGTACACCGTTCTTTATTGATTAAACTTGTCAGGCAGCCTGGTAAGAGTTCTACATGCAACTAAAATTGTTCTACAAATTTAACACTTAGTAACCTCACTTCAGTGCATTACTGCCACCAAAGTGCAGAGAGAAAGGAGTATCAGAGGGAATCAGGGCCTACCTGTGCACGTGAGCCAGTCTGCACTCAGAAAAGAATGACAGCAGTAAAATATGTTACCATTTTGAGTTTGTATGAATATATTTATTTAATATAACCAGAAAGTGGAACAAGCAGTCCCACTGATTCCTTAATAACTCAGAATCACAGAATTTCTGGTTGGAAAAGGTCTCCGGAGGTCATCTACAGGCAACACTACATAGGGTCAGCTAGGGTTTTGTCTAGTACAATCTGGAAAACTGCCAAGGATGGAGGTCCCATGGACTCTTTGGGTAACATGTTCCAGTGCTGCACTACCCTCCTGGTGAAGAGCCACAACAATTATTAAATTATTCCTGGAACTATAAGGATTGCTTTGTCTCTTACCACTGAGCTCCTAACACTGATTATGTTGGCTATTAGCAATTGCCTCTGTTAAAGTATGTCAGACAGGTAATAAACCGTTACAGTCTATCGTATCTCGTGAGACGCTCAGTATTCTTTCAGAAGCAGTATTTCTAACTCCTCCTGAAACCAATGAGATCAGAGGGCAGCCTGCATATCTCAAGACTGATTTGTCAAAGTTTAAATGCCCTACAAAAAGTCAAATTTATAATACGAGAGGGAAAAGAATGCATTAGCATATTACAGTGCTGCATAGTTTATCCGAATAAACGTTGTGCATTAACAGCATCATCAGATTCTAATTAAAAAGCAATCATGGAGACAAACTATTTTATTGCATTAGTTTTACTATGCAATAGGCACAGACAAAGAAAATACTTTCTACTACTAACCTTACCAGTTTTTGGTATGACTGCCTTTCCTTCAAGAGTATTGCTATACTTGACTTCTCAATCTTTTCCAAACTTAGCTTAAAAGAAACTAACACAACCATAATGCTAACATGTTAAAAGCCACTGATAGTGTTTTTCAACAACACACAACTGACAGAGCAGTTTCTTAGTGTGTTAGAAAGACAATCAAAAGAATTTTTGGCCAGCGCTTTAAAATAAGGTTTTTCTAAAGCTATCAGACTTAACAAACTTCAAATCTCTGAAACAGTCAAGCAGTACATGTACCTGCAATTGGAACATTCTGTGACACTGATAGCTGTACATCTCCAGTCCCAGGCGGCATGTCAATTACTAAATAGTCCAGTTGACCCCAGTCAACCTAGAAGATGACAATAAAAATGTATGTTAGAGGTTTGAAGTGTTTTTATTTAAGAAATTTTGTGTGTTATGCAGCCCTTGCTTCCTGTAACATAAAACAAGTGAACCTAGGACACCTCAAAAGAACGATACTGAGATGCCCTTTTAGTCACACTTTCAGTACAGGATCAACACATTATTTTTCTAAGAGATGCAATCTTTGCTGATTGCTTAAAACTATATACGCAACTCTATTATTAACTTCACGAGCATAATCCTTATTGAATTCTTTCCCCCCCAAAAGTAGCAACAATCTAATTTAAGGCTCTTACTTTGCAGCTGCTTAGACACAGGTTAGAATCATATCATATCATAGAATGGTTTGGTTGGAAGGGATCTTAAACCCTGTTAGGTAAAATTCAGGCTAAAATTCCAGGTTTTGTGCAACAAATACAGCTTAGGAATTATTTCCATTAATTTTAAACCCATTTTGCTTGCTTCTTATCACTTCTTTGAAACTACATATAAATCTTTAGTAACTTTTTTCTGGCTTCTTGTTGCAAAGTTAGAGCTATTGGTACTGATTTTTTTTTTAGGAAAAAGAGCTGTTGGGAGAAAAAAAATTTTAAATGAAAATTAACAGGTATAATTATACAAACTTACAATGCACACAAGACATCACACAATGAAAAAAGTTTACTGGTTGCTAGGCATCAAATGAGAGTGACCATTAAAGATATTAGGCTCAAATATGAGAACGCTGTCATGATTCACATTCTTTACTGGAACAGATTTCGAGGGGAGCCAAATAACTCTCTCTAGAGCATTGTGTACTGCAATAAACATTCTATTCATGGTAACAGAAATGATCCTAGGTCTACTCTATACAACATAAAGCCATGCTATACTTCGCCTAAACATTTCCAAACAGTTTAACTAAGCTTCGGGAGATCCTCGATTCAATTCTGACGTGGTGTGGGTCAGTACCAGCGTATGCATACTAAAGAGTGGTAATGTATAAGGTCTTTTGACTCTGCAGTACAGAAGCTTTAGAAATCATAACCATGTTAAACACAAAGACCCACAAATCTCTCCCTCTCACTTTTCTCTCCACACAGACATAATACAATTATATGGTATGTTTCTGATTCATACAACATATATAATGCACAATAGTATCAGCTGCTTTAATACCTGAAAATGCCAAACAAGCTGTATTTTACTTCCTCTTTTATTTTACACATTCCCTCAGTGTCATTTTAACAGCAAAAACAATTGACATTTTGCCAGTCCCTTAGTTACTGTCCTGGACTGTTAGACCCTGTCAGGGGAACACTCATGTATTTTCATTTAGTTCTTGCACGGACTATATAACCCCAAAGAAAAACTACATATATGTGAAAAAATGTATGTACTGAAATATAAGCCTGGGGTAGAGAAGCCAGTTTATCTAAAAAAAAAAAATCTGGTTTTTACTTTGTTTTTCTTAACTAATCTTGCTTAGTTATAAAGCAAGATGAATGCCAGTGCTGGTGAATGCCTCCTTTTCCAATGAAAAGTATTTTGCTCACTTGAAGGCATGAACTTTAAATTTCTATGTTTCTTAATTATAAATTAACCATTATAAAGGTGACAAATTGAAATTATATAGATGTCAAAAAGTAGCAGTTTACAACATGAGTAAAGTCAAGTTCCTTAAAGATTTGCAACTAAACACACAGGTCCTCTATAGATCTGCATTAAAAATGTGCATAAATCTCAATATGCAAAATCAAATCTTTCATAATAATCACAACCATTTTGAAATGTTAAGGTACAGTGAGTTTTACTTTTTAAAAAGGATTAACTCAAAATACCTTTTTTCCTCCCTGTCTTCATAAAGACTGATCCTGACAGCTTTTGTTATGCCCAAATTTACAAGTCCACTAATCATATTCTCCTTCCTTAAATACTTCTACAGAAACTATGAATAAACTGGTTTTTTGCATTCTGCCCTGCAGAAAGATACAGTCCAGAAACACATCTATGAATGGCATAGCACTACTATCATTCTCACACAGTTTCCAATCACTCTGCCAAAAACACTTGCTTCTTGAAAAAAAATGGATATTGAGTAGTTTTCAGCCCTTTTCTCCAGGAGCTCAAATTCAAGTCTTTTTAGGTATAGCACTGCCTCATGGAGTAGCACAAGACAATCCAAATTCCACCCTTATCAGAGGTAACTGGAATGAAAATATAAATAAATAGGGGTTTTTCCCATAGCTAAAAGCTGTCTGGTTTTGCATATACTTGCTGGCCTTAACTTTAAGCCAGCTCCTCTTGTAGAACAAGGTGAATTTCTGGGCCTGTCCTATAGCTTTTCTTTTCACTCTTATCATAGGTTCTGCCACTTCAACCTCCTCAAGCACTAGCCTCCTTCACCAAGCTCCATGTGATCGTCCTACCTAGCAAGCGTTACACTTCCCCAAAGAAAACATCTAGACCTATTCCACTACCATGTGGAACGCTAACAGAGAAGACCTCCAACACCAGTGCTCAAATCCTTTCCTAGACATTCAGTTTTGTGAGGAAGCACAAAGCAGTTGCTGCTTTTAAGCAGAGGTAGCTGCCTTGGTAAAAACATCTCCATATAGAACCTCGAAAGTAAGAGAACACTTTTATAAATAGCTTACTGCCTCAAAAACACACAAAACAATTGCTGCTCAAGAAGTTACTTTCCAAATTGAGCATGTATAGTAGAATGGGTACAAAAATCAGAGGGCACCAGAGCCTTCTACCTCAAGTCTCCTTAGTAAAGTGACCCCATAACAGCAAAAAGAACTTCTAACACACACTTTCTGGATTGTCCTATGAGTAATGATTTTTATTAAAGTTATAAACCTCTGAAAACAGAAGTTAATAACGGAATCTTAAGCACATGGTGAATCTCATGGTAAATCTCATTGCTAGGCAACATGAAAAACACTCTGTTAACACATAGTGCAATTAAATTACAACATTTTACTTAATTTATGGCACTGAAACCATCTTATTTCATATATTTTCTTCAAATTCATGGATTGAAAAAAAGAAATAAGCTGTCTTTATCAAATAAATTGTGTTCCATTACAATACTCATAAATCTGAGCACAGAAAAATGGAGAAACGACACCATCCCAGGAGCAGTGGAAACGATGTGTTGCTGCTGCGCAGAGTAGAAGGAAGACAGGCTTTTGTCACACCAGTTCAGAGAAGGCAACAGTTAAGATGTCCAGGTGTGCAAGTGTTGCATATAGGTGAGAACAATCCTCCACACACCTCTCTGAGTCATGCCACTGCTGTGGTGCTGAACTGGTGGAAGTCAAATGGCAAACTAGATTGGAAAACCGCTGCTCATTAAAAATAACCTTGTTTTTTATTTTGGATGTAGTTGAATGGTTATCCTCACAATTTTATTCTTGTTTCGCATTTGTAATTCAGGGTGAGAATGGAGAGCTGCACCAGGGTGACATAGCTGTAATTGCTGAAAAGAACTGAGCTACTGTTTTTGCCCACTAGTGTCCTCTAGACATATGGATTTGCTCAGACTTAGGTTGGGGAACTCTGTGCCTCATCCCATTTCTTTCTGTAGACTCCTTATTCTCTTCAATTTTGCAAGTAGAAGATGATGAATACTGTGGAGTTCAGTTCCTCCTCCATTACCCTCCCACAGGAATACAGAAGCAGTATGACAGTCTTTTGTTAAACACATTATTCAATGTAATTTGGAAGATAGAATGATTTGTTATAGAACTGTATATGTTATTTAACAGGAGAAGAAATTCCGGGTTTGTTACTAATTTTCAGTAAAGGAGAAAAAAAAAAAAAGAGGGGAAAGTAATTTTTAATTAAATTTAGAATTGGAACATATAGTCAGAGAGAGGTGTGACTTTCTGAAATCTACTACTGCCATTCATTCAACATTATTAAATTTGGGCGTGTCATCAAGCTGTGATATAAAGCACTAATTTGAATGCAAATCCTGTTTATATGCAACAACTTACCAAATCAGGACCACTAGTCCTCATGTTCTCAGTCAGTTCTGAGAAGCGCATGTGTACGCAAATGCAGTTGCATACAAAGGAGCTCAGATTAACAGCATATTCTAGTAAACGAGTTCCCTTTGCAAGCAATAAGCAGACAGCAGTTACAAAAATCAGCGTTGTAGCATCTGAAATCTGTCAGCACCTTTGCATGTACAGAAGTGTTAATATCTTTGACCCTTTAATATATACAGTGTGTAAAACACTGCAAACCATAGAAATGTAATTGCACTTTCCTTAAGTGTAGCATTCATCTTTTTTTAAAAAGGTTTAACTTAACATTTATTGTTAAGCAACGTAATTAAGCACCATGTGCTTCTGTGTATTTTCCCTTGCTCAGGAACACCAAACACGCTCCTATATAAATTACTTTAATCAATCACTCTGTTTATGTGACAATTCATAATCAAAATACCAGATATGCATTTACAGTAAGGGTTCCAAATAGCAAGTTAAGGTAGAGCACAGAGATATGGATGGCATTTCTGCTGAGGAATCAGACTGAGCCTCCTCTGTGCACAAGGCAGAAATGACAGAATATTAGCACAGAAGAGGGATCCCTACTTGCAGTTTTGAAGTAATCCTGGTGTTTGGTAAATAACAGAAGTATTATTTATTTGTTCTTATTAAGAGGAATACATGCAGAGTTTCAATCAAGCAGCACTGCAGGTGCAGACTTGGCAGCAGCCAGCCCAACTCTGAACACCACTATCAGAAAAGTACCAAGAGCTACATTGCAGGCAGCTTAAGGTCTATTCCTGCCAGAACCCGCCTCCTCCTAACTACTTTGCTGTATATATAAATGATTTAATACAGGCAAACAGCTGAATAAAATAAAGGTAAGAAATGCTGTTGTCAAATGAATATGTATATAACTGTTCACATGTATTTACATCTGTTAGTGCAAGATAAAACAAATATTTAAAAATATCTCCTTGAAAAATTACTTAAAGATTCTGCT